ATTTGTCTGCTATTCAAGTTATCAACACAAGCTGAAGTGAAGGAGGATTGTAAATGGCTTGGATCCATAATTATGTAGAGGGACTTTTTGGTTTTTTAAAATGGATTTCGTAAGATTTTTTCTCTTTTGCTACAATCCATGAAGCCCTCACAAAGTACAGACAAATCATTTTTCTCCGTTAAAAACCTGTGTTTTCTCTCTGCAGGAACGACATGAAACTAGACTTTCTCGCGATTAGAATGGCTCGCACAACTAAGTACAATACATAACGTATGCATTTTCCAAAAAATCAACACTTTACAGACTTTATACAAATCAAAAATCGCAATAAAACGGATTTTTTTTTATTGATAACCTATTTCACTTATTTAAAGTACTCCTCAGCGTGTTTAAATCCGACATTCAAAAACGCGCGTGTTTTAAAGTTATCAACAACCAACAACCCGAGGAAGGTCTAAATGTCAACTTTTTAATTATTGATTTGTCAGGAGTAAGTAATGTCTGCCCAGCGAGTCTGTGTCTACGGGGCAACGGTAAGGGGAATGCAGTTGTAAAAAAAAATGGCTGATTTCATTCATAAAATACCCAGCTGCGTACGGAACTTTTTGGAAGTGTTATCGTATTGCAACTCGTACACGAAAATCAGCAATGACCAAATCTCCGCCACTGGATATTTCAATATAAATCGATATTCCAAGATGGAAGGATAAAATGACGTGAGCCGTGGCCAATAGCGAGACGTAAGGTGACGTTAGTTTATTGACAACCGTATGGTTCTTCATGACAACGGCGATCCTGCCAAAAACTCCACCAATCAGGTTCATCCAGGACGGATGATTGCCAAATTGTCAAAAGCTGATGGTACCTTTAGAAAATGTTTATTTTTTACAATAGACCAAACTGAAGAAATCAGGATTAAAATAAGGATAGATCTAACAACCACGTTAAAATATTTAGCGTTTTATTATTGTTATCAATAATTTGTTATTAAAAAATGGATTTTCAAATTAACTATACTTCATGCCTAGTAATTTCGCTTTTTTATAATTAAACGTGGCAACATGGCACATTTACGTCAGAATTCTTTCCGTAGACTCAGATCCACTGGGCAAACAATACTTGTAGATAACGTCAAATAAAATATAACAAGTGTCAAGCACGAATTAAGGATTCTACAATTATTAGTAATTTATGATTTGATTGAACGTATACCAATAAAAAAAAATTGTGTAAAGTATTCGTGGATAACTGCCATAACTGGTCTTTAAAACACTTGTTATATTTCGAGCACTCCGGCTGATTTGCAAATGGAAAGTATCACTTTACCGCACACTATGCAGTAAAGTGCACTTTACCGCATAGTGTGCGGTAAAGTTAACTTTACAGCATAGTATGCGGTAAAGTAGAATACAAAGTGTGCGGTAAAGTGCACTTTACCGCATAGTGTGCGGTAAAGTAGAATTTGATATTTATAATAAAAAATCCTCTCTCTTTCAGAAAATGGATTTTTGATCATTTGTAAATCTTATCTAATTTCATTAATTAATCTGATTCATTAATTAATTTTATCAATGCCTTTTTTTGGAGATGTAGATGCTCATAGGTAAAATTTTGTACCTAACACATGCGGAAAGTGCCTTTACCGCACTTAACGGCTTGACCGAACTCCGCTTCGCGTCGTTCGGTCAACTGCCGTTGCGTGCGGTAAAGTATCACTTTCCGCATTTGTTAGGTAAATAACTATAATATCCACTTATACTTTAATATACTATTTTTTAAATAAAAAAGCATTGGCCTCCATTTTGCATTTTATTTTGACAGGTCATTGGATTGCCCTATAAATAAAGACATACCCCTTTTTCACCGTTGACAGTTGTAACACTTTTATTTTACGTAAGAAAAATCAATTACCAAAATGTAACCATATTTGGATTGCGACCTTAGTTCAACAGAGTTTGTTAAAGTGTCCACGTGCCCGGTTCGTGGATTCGTGCGCCACCAATTTTTGAAACTAAATCGGAAAAGTCCTGCGATGACTGCAGGTTGAACTAAAGTACAAACCAAATTATTATGCCTGAAATGTAAGAAAATAATTGGATAAGCAAAAAGACAAAGAAAGCAGGTAATTGGCAATACAACAAAATCAGTATTTATTGAATATTAAGTATTGATTTAGTACAAGTTATGGTGATTAAATAATGATTATGACAAGTATTCAGAGGCTAGTATGACGACTAGCAGGAATAAAGAACCTAAAGGCTTCCTCATAGTCAGATTTAAGAAAACTGTCTGTCGGTATTGATATGTATGAATACCTATGTAAGCAGAGAGCTATATACTTAAAACTAAAATAACCAATAAGTGCGAATTAACACACACCCAGCGTCAGTGATCACTCCGCAAATAAATGGGGTCAAATGTTTACTTAAATTTGAGTAACTAAAGTTACCTAAGCCATATACGATATTTTTAAATAATTAATAAAAAAAATTACACTAAACTACTTAGCTTTATGCCGACAATTAACAATGGGTCTGGGATTTCACACTCGTACCAGATGATCTATCTCATCAATGAAAACTAGTTCGCCGAGTCTTTGCTATTCAGATACAGTGGTGGGTACTGCATACCATCAAAACATCCACTGAGTTGCGTTATCGAAAACGGTAGCATAAAACCGTACCATAAGACCCTAAAGAAAGCACCAATGAGTAAATAAATTACCCTTAAATCCCCATTGAAATTATGCCACTTGGGATATGAAATTGTACATTTCAATTCCCAAGTTTTAACCCATTTAGCAAATATAATGAGTTCAATTCATTAAATTAAGTTGCATTGCCAAAAAAATATTAAAATAAAAAAACTATAAGTCTACCAATCAATGTGGCATAGAATGGTCCCCCAATAAAACATTAAAATGGAAAATTGCAATTATAATTACCTCGTGGATTTTTGAGGGCCACAGCTCAAAGGTTGAAGGTGAAAGGAACGTTATGGAACTCTAATTTCACCTACGCTGGCTGATCCAATTTGGAAGTTCACAATAACGAGCAACAATAAAATCAAGGCTCTAAGAGTCTAGGCTCAAGCAATTCAATCCAAGCGACGTGAATGATATTCTATTGTAAGAATAGAACTAATTAATTTACAACAATACAAATTCACAAAATGGTGGACTTACCGACTAGAAGAAATAGATAAATCCCTTAGAAAGGTGATTTGGCTGCCAAAAGGTAACAAAAACCAAAACTAGACTGGCAAAACCAAAATTGAAAATATCTGGATGACCGGATCCTAATTAAATAGAGAAAATCACTTAATTTTCTTTATGGTCAACCGGATAAAAAAACTATCCTTCAGGCCAAAGCCAAAGTGTTCTTGTCGCTGGACGAAATGGAAAAGACCGTTGTACGATTTTTGGGACCCTAAACCAGAAATTTCTACGCACTAACTTTTTTCTTATGTTACATTTTTTTCTATCGAATTCCACATTCCACACATTAGGAAGGATTGAAAGATAACGACAAAGATATAGATAGTCGTCAGCGAAACCTCCAAAGGGACTCAACAAATGGAACCGACTCAATCCACACAAATCAGGAAAACACTATTCTCGTTAAAATCTATAAATAACTTCACTTATTAAATAATATTGTCCATGCCTTCTCTAACACGACACCAATTATATCGACATTTATAGAAAAACCCAACCCTACGCGATCAAAACCAAAGTACCAGCAAATTGATCGATATAGGTACTCGATAACAGGTAAATAAAAGAAATGAAATCCTCCAGTAAGAGAGAGACAGAGAGGGAGTGAAAACTAAAGGAATTAATCCTTCGAAATGAGCTGGCGCGAAAATAAAATTGAATGACAATTAACTGGACATAACCCCTTTTTATTTGAAAATCAAAACAATGTTGGCTATCGACTAATGAAATTGATAATTTATGTATATTCCTTTTAAGGACAACAAGAATAAGATAACCAGGCATTGTTCAATAAATATTTATCTGCAATGGTCAACTAAATCATTAGACAAATGATAAGGAGCAAAATCTTGTCTGGCTGTGCCTGAAATTATCTAAAAAGATGCAGAGTAAGGTAATTAATATCCAATCAATTAAGTCAGCTCTAAAATAATATTTGTGTGTTACCAGTTAAAACGCTGAATTACTCATTTAATGGGAAGAGCAAAATTAAAATGTTACACAGTTATCAACATAACCCTATAATATTTTTGTTCTGTTCCGTTTCTGGCCATGTTCCGTTTTCACATTAATATGAAAATAAACTAAAAGTAACGACAGAAAAAGAAAGATATTTTAGTGTGAAAGAAAATAACATTTTTCAACATCTGAAGGCTGTTCAGTTTATGGACCGTCGTTACTTGTTGTGCTTTCGTCCACCATATTATTACGGCTCAGTATACAACTATGGGCCTGATAACCGTGGCGTACAGTCATATCATCATCGTTGGTTTCAGACCTCATGTTTTTTCGTACATACTTCTGCCTGATTGGTCTCAAATTCACGTTGTAGCATTTCTGCATCCTTGTTACGTGATTCTGAGAAATACGGCCCTTTTATATGTCAATTATTCTTTCCTGGCTCCGAAACGTAAGGAAATTGACAAATCTCAGAGTCGAAGAACTATTTCAAAGCAAGAGACATTGACGTATTCAGAAACTTGGTCGCCAACTTCAATGAGAAGACGACATAAAAAGAAGAAAAAGACCCCAATTTTATCTAATCTTTAATTGGAAACACGAGGCAAACGGTGATTTACTCACCAATGTAATTAAAAGATAGGTGCCTACTTAAGTATACAAAGAAGATAAAAACTTTAAACCTGATTATTGCAATACGCAAATCTAGAATTTACCTTTAATTTTTCGAAAGATTTTTAAAATAACACGGAATAGATAGATACAAGAGGATAGATTATCTGGCATGCCATGAATGCATGCCATCAGTGCGATGATTGTAACAATTTTTTTTTTATCTATAAGTACCTGATCAACTTTCGAATATAAAGAATCACTTCAACAAAGCAATCTATACTTTCATTTTCCATTTGTTAGTATCTAGTCGTTGAGATTGTTGATCTAAACATGAATATGCAAATTTTTGCCACCTTTTGCATTTTGTTTTTGGCCCAAGTAAGTAATTTTTGGTTCATTGGCTGATTTTCTTATCATAACCATTCTCAGGCCTTTATCATTCACGCTAAGCCTGAACCTGCAGCAGCTGAAATCCAAGATGCTACTGATATAGCAGAAAAACTCTTCGTAAAACTTATGGCACACATTCAAGAAGCTATAGATGAAGCTTCCGGTACTTTAAAAGCAGCCGTACAGGCAGTAAATGAAACTGCAACCAAGTTAGAAGATAAAGCTCATGACGCTTTTGATTTAGCTATGAAGCCTCTCAATGCTAAGCTGAAGGGTTTATTGGAAGAAGCTGAAAAACTGGGTAAGATTTGGATTGTTATAATAAATTTCAATCACATACTGACTAACAAATGAAAAGATTATTGCTTTACTCTTTGATGTTCATCAAATTATAAGTGAAACAGGCTTAAGTGAGTAATCTTTTCTTATAGAAATATTCAAAAAATAGTCCAAAATTAGAGTTTTCAGTGCTGCATGATCCAACAACTTTACTTTCGATGTTCCTTGTGCTCGTGTCAATTCTAAAATTTTCCATTTTGTTGTGGATTGCTCAGAATTACTCACAGGAAGTAGCTTTCAATTATGTGAACAAAAGAAATAGAGATACAGAAAATTAAAAGAGAAGTATGCAGTATGCTTGTGACGAGGCTCTGTGATTCATCTAAGTCTAAGTGGATTTGTACCGGAAAAACCACATGTTTAGGAAATTTATCTCGCTGTTAGAAAAGGAAACATATTTTCTGGCCTTGTCAAAGATGACCATTTCTATATGTTGGCTTATAAAATTCATTCCCAGAATAAATTCATCCCCAATATCAGCTTCTAAGGCCATATCAAAGTTTCTCTTTTGATTTTCCATTCACCTCAGATTTCAAATTCTATTGAAGTCACGTTCCTGAACAATTTTACATAACGCAGTCAAAATGGTCCAGAAATAAGTCCGATACTAATTGTTACTTTATATAAATTTATATTGAGTTAGACTTTATAATAACACTTTTATTCCAGCTCTAAAATCACTTTACAATCACTAGTCAATTTAACTAAGCACAATAACATATTCTTTTTTCCCTACCTTTGCACTTTCCTAACTAGTCTAAAAACAGCTGACGTGGAAACATTCTTCAGGAATGTCTAGAATATCTAGAATACGTCTTGAGCTTCCAGTTTATTGAACAGGATAGTTTGCGGTGGATCTGCCTGTATTTCTAACATTTTTATCAAATTTTGGTGTTTATTGATTTCTATGGTGTTTCTTTTTCCAGAAACATCAATATTTCAACAAATAAAAATAATTTATATTACGCATGCATCATAATCAACGATTATCGCACGCTGCAGCGTGCATAAAATAATGTTTATGATGCGCCTACCTTTTCAAAGTTTTGCTATAGAAACGTTTGATCTTCATTACCTAGATATACACCTGCCGTTTAAATTACTATTCATCAAAATGAATGAACACATTTAAAACCTTTTTGAGATTATGATGCATTTGTAATATAAAATAGCGTATGATATGCGTGTATAAGAGGCCTTTAAAGCCCTTGCGACTTACAAAACACTCCGCTGCGCGTCGTGTTTTGAAATATGTCGCGCGTGCTTTAAAGGCCCACTTATACACTTATATCATAATATACTATTAATTTTTTTTTCTTTAGGACTTAACACAACTGACTGCGAACATTATATTGACGATCTTACCAATCTACCAAATAATCTTAGTGATGAAATGGTCGACTGCATGACGGATCAAATATACAAAGCTACAGGTTACGTAGATGATATTCTAAACCATTTACAAGAAATCGAAGATACCATGGCGAATTATACCAACAAAATTCATGATTGCAAAGGCAAAATTTGGATGGAAGTAACATGTTTGGCACATCTAAGCGCCGAAATGGCCAAAGACACCGTTGACATTCCTTTGAAAATTGCTGCGGATGTAGGAAAAACTGTTCTAGCGATTAAAACATTGATTCCTAAAGTGGGGCTATGTTACACTAAATCTTTGGCCCAACTTCCAATCCAAGGGCTGGAAATTGTACACAAATTTGCCGAATGTGTTGGAGTACCACAAAATTAAGTGGGCTATTGTTGTTATGGTATTGTAAGAGAACTTCAAAGTTGAATAAATAATACTCACTGGCTTGTGTCTTGATAATTCACCTACCTACGTCTTTTTTACATATTTCCAATTTTTCTGTTTATAATAAAATTGAAAATATACTCGGGACGTTTTAAATCTATACCTACCTGAAACAACCATACCTTCTATTACCACTCTAATATGTTTTTAAATGGAACTTCCTACCTGCTTTTTAAGAAAGCTTTTACAGTTTGGCAATGATATACTAATTGTTTAATATTCCTTCAAATAAGAATATACCTATTTTTTTGAATTATCTTCCACAGCCATCTTTACTCATCAGGCCATGAAATAGGAAGTCGTGCAACATCGCATAGTTGTCTAATTGTCATTGGAATATTCTGTTCAACCCAGGATCGTGAAAAGAAAGACTAATAATAGGTTTGAAAAATCAGATTTGATTAATGGGTTTGAGGAGTTTTCAAATTATTTTGTTAGAATTAACATTTCTGCTTATTGAACAAAAAAATTAGAGAATGAAAAGAATATTTACTTTGATATATATTCTTGATTTAACTGTGTCTCCCATAAGTATTTATACTGAGATTTTCACCACTTTAATAGAATCAAACTTTCAAATACCTTGGGACATTCTTGAACCTCTATCTTACACTTGGCAACAGTGCATCGGCAATCTGTTCAGGGCCTGATAAGTAAAGATGACCGTGTATCTGTTCTATCTTATATGATAATTGCACCGTCTCTTTCCCGCTTTGTGTTTGAATAGATCAACCTAGCCTAGGTCTGTGGAACAGTAAACCGATTCAGCTCTGCTGTCTTAGATATATCTAAGAGATATTATCTACGTTTACGATATTATATTTTTGTGTAATTTTAAGCTTTTAGAAATAATTGTGAATTGAGTCTCATTCTGGAGCCAAACAAACTTCATAGCACAGTATTATCGTTATTAGTCTAGAGAGAGAGAGTGTTCAATGGTCGAAGGTTACTACGACTAAGGGATAAAATTCACCGCCTCTAGGATAAAGTTCATTCATAATAACGGAAAGACAAAAAGCCAGGTTCACAAGACCTCTGGGAAACCAACATCCAAGACACATGTATGTAGTTACACATATTAGCAATGTACAGATCTCCTTGAGAAAGCATTGAGGAATTCTTGGATAGGCTACAGTCCCTTGTATTTTCCATTCCTATAAACTCTCGATTAATTTGGAGATTTAAATAAAGATTTTTCTAAGCATTTGGACAGATATACGAAATCCTTATGTAATTTTCTTGATTCTCTTAATTTGAATAGTATATGATTGACTATTTTTCTCAAATTTTGGCCTGGATAAAGTTCAATGTATGGTATCCAATGCGGGGTTGTCCGATAATGAAGCTGTACCTACTGGGCTATGTGGATCTTGATGTCTGTTAAAGTGTATCTTCTTTAAAGAAGGCTCTACAGCAAAAAAGAAATAATAAATTCAAATCGCTTTGTGAACAAGCAGACTGGGATACTTTGCTTGGCTCAGATATTCCTTTGGAGCAATTCCATAATGTATTATGTACAAACTTCTATAAGTTCTATATAGGGCTTTCCCAATTATAGGTATTCATTAAAAGATCTAAGAAAAAAGTTTGGTATACAAAGGGCCTTGGAGTCTCTGGAAGGAACATGCATGCGCTATATTGTATATGTAAATACTCAATGGATAATGATAAAAGAAAAATCTCCAAACGTCAAAAAAACGTCACTTTGTTAACTCCTGTCAAGATGTCAGAAATTTAATTTCAATGCTGCTAGGCAAGATCAGCGGGTTAACACCTGTCGAGGTGGTAGAAATTTAATTTCTATGCTGCTTGGCAACCCCAGCGTCAGCAAAAGTACTTTAAGTGCCGCTCGTACTTTTACTGCTACTCAACCATCCAGTTACCCCTGAGCTTACCCCATTCGTTTGGAGAAAAAATGGCGTGTTGCATACGGAGTAGAAGCTCTTTTTTGTGCTTCAGCAGAGTAAAGCTTCTACTCCTAATACAACAATATACTATTAAATACTACTGTAATTATCGTATTTATATAGAAGGCTTCTAGAAATTGCGAAAAGGTCTTATTTACTTTGATAAGAGGATTGAGAGGGCATCAAAAAAATCAAGGGAGTCATGGAAAATCGTAAGCGTCTTGACAGGCAATAAGAACGTTCTTTAGATCTCCAAAACATTAAAAGCAGATTAACTTAACTCTTTTTATTGTTCCATAGCAAGCAATCTAACTGAGGCTATTTCAAAAGCTGGCGACCCATTGAGGTACCTACTTATCTCACATAAGCATATCTGACACATTTTTTCTTGAACCTGCATGTATGCAGTGTAGCACCCGCCCAAATTTTTTTTTTTTTTTTTACGGATATGCGCACTCGCAAGGAAATGTCCTATCACGCTCGAGAAGCGGCAAGTGCGCGGAAATGTCGGTGTATGTTGGTCTTGAAACGGTTCAGGTTGTAACCTGCAGGGAAAACCGTCGCAGGGAGTTTATTCCACAGCGATGCTGTTCTCCAGAGATATGAATTCTGATATAATGAGGTTCTTGGTGCCTCTAGTTTGACAGTAAATTCATGGTTACCGTCTGTTTGACGGGTTCGCCTGGTAGGTGCTACTCTCGGTGGAATCATACGTGCCAACTTTTCAGAGCATTTTCCGTGATAGTACCTGTAGAAGAGAGATAAATCGCCCACAGATCTGCGATGTTCGAGACCATCCAAGTTACGAGTAAGTGCGCGGTCATTGATCAGCTTGATAGCTCGTTTTTGCACGGTATTCAAAAGCATTAAGGTATGTTTGGGTGCTGCACTCCATATATGTGAGCAGTACTCCATAGTTGGTCGAATCTGGGCTTTGTAGAGTGTCAGCAATTGGCTTGGTGTGTACAGATGTCTTGTACGAAATAGCACCCCCAGCTTTTGGGAGGCCTTTTTAGCAATATATGCCACGTGACTGTGCCAAGACATGTTGGTCTCTGCAGTAACCCCCAAGATGTTCAACTGACTCTGTAATGTGACAGCACTTCCAGATAGCATGATGTTTGGCTCACCGGTGCTGGTCTTTTTTGAAAACAGAGCTGCTTGGGTTTTCTGCGCGTTGAACTGTTACCCCAGTCCTTTATTATCTCCAGGTCGTTATTTATCTGCGATATTTGAGTTAGTCTAAGATGATGGAATTCACGTGCGGAAAGACCTGTGGGTGGTATGAGTGAGGAGACTACATTGCCATCGTCTGCAAAGCAATAAAGTGGATTTACTGTTTTATCTATGAGGTCATTTATGTAAATCAGGAAAAGAGTTGGCGAAAGGATTGCTCCCTGTGGCACACCAGCATTTATTTGGTAAGAGTTGGAGTTCTGGCCATCCAGTGCAACATATATGGATCTGTCCTTTAGGTAACTTTCAAACCAAGTGCAAAGTTTCGGCGATAATCCCATTGCTTTGAGCTTGTTGAGCAGATTTTCATGCCAAACTTTGTCGAATGCTTTAGATATATCTAAGGCAATTGTTCTTGTTTCACCCCGCAACTCAATCGCTTTTTGCCATAAGTGAGTGACGTATGTAAGTAAATCGCCAGTTGACCTATATTTTCGAAATCAATATTGCTTATCGTTGATAATTTTGTACTTTTCCAAGTACTTGGTTAGGTGATTGTTCACAACTCTTTCCATTACTTTTGATATCACCGGAAGTAGAGCAATTGGTCTATAGTTTAACGGATCTGTCTTTTTTCCTTTCTTTGGAATGGGTTGTACTGCGGCAGACTTCCATGATGATGGATATAGTCCTTGCCTGTAAGACAAATTGAATAATTTTGCGAAAGTTGGGGTGAGTTCGTTGGCGCAATTTTTGAGTACTATTGCGGGAATGCCATCCGGACCCATTGCTTTGTTTGTATCCAGCTTTTTAAGGGATTTTCGTATTTCTCTGTGACAAAAGGATACCTCTGGCATACTATGGGAAACCCTTTCAATGAACGGTGGAGTTTTTCCGTTTGGCACTGTTAGGTTGGAGTTGGAGGAAAACATTTGGGCCAGCATATTGGCTTTTTCCTCTGATGTTGTGGCTAAGTGATTATTTTCATCTGTAAGTGGTGGTATGGATGACTTGGTGAAGTTAGATCCAACAGCTTTTGCAAGAGACTAAAAGGACCTAGAACTACTTGGACAATTCAGCAACCTGTTTTTTATTCTTTGATTGTATGTTTCTTTAGCGGAGTCAATAGTAATTTTGCAACTATTTCTGGCTTCTATAAATTCTGTGTGGTTTTGAGCGGTTTGTTGTCGTTTCCAAAGGTTATATGCTCTGTGTTTTTTCTGTACAGCCGTTTGACACTGGCTGTTGAACCAAGGTTTTGCATTAGCTCTACGTTTAGTTGTATGTGGGATATATGCGTCCATTCCAGATAAGATTACTTGTGTTATTTCATTACAGCAAATAGTGGGATCAGCTGTTTTAAAGCAAACCTCTTGCCATGGAAAATCCAGATAATACTGTTTTAGGTCATTCCATTTTGCCGATTTATAGCGCCACATTTTACGAGGAAGTGGTTGTAGGCTTGGTGGGATGAGCATTTCGCACTTTGTTATTATAAGTTTATGATCGGACGAACCAAGTGGAGCATCTACTTGAATTGTGTACGAGTCAGGATTGGTGGTTAGGAACAAGTCTAAAAGCGCTGCAAATTCGCCCCTTTCTGAGATACGGGTAGGTTCATCGACAAGCTGCGTTAGACCACAACTTATGGCAAAAGCTTCTGCTTCTCTGCCTTCGTTATCTGTTTTGTTGTGGTGTTTCAGCCAGGGTATATTGTGGACGTTGAAATCGCCTAAAAAGACAATTTCCGCCTGTGGATAGTTTGACTGTATACTATCACAGCTTTCGGATAATGTCGCGAAAAAGTTTTGGTAATCGGTGTTACTTGGCGGTCGGTAGAGGCAGCAGATAAACTTGGTCGATGACTTTGAGGTGAATTTTAGCCATATGATATCAAGGTTCGCTGGTTATAGCTTC